ACAACCCCAGCCCCATTCTGTATTTTTTTAAATTGAGTTTTAAAATGTTTTTTTAAATCATTTTTGCATAAGACAATCTAAAGAGTTGGTAAAAACATGGCTCTTCAGTGGGGAAGAAAAAGACAATGTAATGTTGAACTGCTTGAGTGTGAGGAATGGTGTTGAGGAGCCATCCCTGAAGGTCTTTGTAGGTTCTCATTACCTATAGGAAGAGGTGAGCTGAGAGGCCCATTAGAAATGAACAAAATGTAAGTTAACTCCCATCTCCTGTTTGTCCCTGTTCAGCTCTTAGAACAAGCCCTGGTGATTGAGGAGCAGCTGCGTCGGGCGGCTTACCTGAACATGTCAGAGGACCCTTCTCACCCTTCCATGGCCCTAAATACCCGCTTTGCAGAGGTGGAGTGTTTGGCGGAAAGTCACCAGCACCTGTCCAAGGAGTCGATGGCAGGAAACAAGCCAGCCAATGCAGTCCTGCACAAAGGTAGTCAGTGGCTCTCCTGCCTCCTATTGATTGAGTCTCCCCTCTCCACTAAGTCCTCCCCAAATCCATATGCTTCTTGTTCCCAAACCTTTTTCAGAACCTGCTTGTCAGGGAGCTTAGGATATGTTGAGGTTCTTTGCCTTAGAGATAGTCAAGGACAGTAATTCTTTGCCTCATTTAATATATTCATTATTCTTGAGATAGCAAAGCAGAATATAATAGAGTATCATCTGGGATACTTTAGAGGTAATTTCAGGTGATTTGAAATGCCATCAAATTCTAAACCCCTTTCAACATTTTTTTTAAATATATTTTTTTAGTTGTCGTGAACACAATACCTTTATTTATTTATTTATATGTGGTGCTGAGGATCATACCCAGGGCCTTGCACGTGCTAGGCAAGTGCTCTACCGCTGAGCCACAATCCCAGCCCCTCAACATTTATTTCTAATTAACGTAAAACATTATGAGGAGGTAGAGGGTGAAGTGAGGAAAAGAAGGTTGTTTATAAAGGAAGTAGGAGAAGGTAGAGAGATGAGTGTGAAGATGAAACAGTAAGAATAAGCTTTTTTCAAGAAGTGGAGAAAATACAGACAATAGAAAGCAACGGATAATGAATGTTAGGTGACTTAAAAGAAGCAGAGGATCAGCCAGACACAGTGGTACACTTGTAATCCCAGAGATTTAGGAGGTGGGAGACTGAGGCAAATTTGAATCCAGCCTGGACAATGTAGCAAGATCCTATCTCAAGACTATAAAGGGTTGGGGGTGTAGCTCAGTGATAGAGCAAATCCCCAGTACTAAAACAAACAAAAACCAGAATCATGGACAAAATGGAACCTAGTGGAGTAGGAAATTTGAGCGTGGTTGGTGGTCAGGTCAGGTGATTCAACAAAAGACAGCAACACATTACAGTCACTTGGTCATTGTGTGTGGTCTGGTTCACTAGGGTAGAAGGATCTTCATGTTGACCACCACAGCTCACCACTTCTTTATTCCCTCTGCAGTTCTAAAACAATTGGAAGAACTGCTAAGTGACATGAAAGCTGATGTGACTCGACTCCCAGCTACCATTGCCCGAATTCCCCCAGTTGCTGTGAGGTTACAGATGTCAGAGCGTAACATTCTCAGCCGCCTGGCGAATCGGGCACCAGAACCTCCCCCACAGCAGGTAGGAAAATTTCTACCCTACCAGCTCTTCTCACAGAACCATTCTGGAAATTTTAACTTTATTTTTATTTATTTACTTATTTTTAGATTTTTTTAAATATTTATTTTTTAGTTTTCCGCGGACACAATATCTTTGTATGTGGTGCTGAGGATTGAACCCGGGTACCGCTTGAGCCACATCCCCAGCCCCTGGAAATTTTAACTTTAGTCTTTGTTCCTACCTTTACTTCTGGGCTGTCAGTGAGCTCCCTTGCTATCTGGTGGATTCAAATTCTGACTCTTGGCTCTCTTTCACTATAGGTAGCCCAGCAACAGTGAAGATCTGGATTGAGGATACCGCCTCCACCACTGAGCAGTGACCTTCCTCACTTTCTCTTGTCCCAGCTTCTCCCTTGGGGGCCTGAGAGACTCTTGACCTTCTGCCCATCTTCATGTTGTAAAGGAACAGCCCCCATGTACTGGGGGAGGGGAGGGAGTGAGGGGCAGTGGTGCCCTTCCTGCTGGAGAGACAAGCAGCAGTAGCGCCGGCGCCATCTGCAGGGAGCTGGCTGGCTGGCCTTCTTTTGGACCCTGGCTTCTTCCCACTGTAACGTCTGTTACACACAAACTGTTGTGGGTTCCTGCCAGGCTTGAAGAAAATGATCTGAATTTCTTCCTCCTTTTGGTTTTATTTTGTTGGTTTATTTTTGAGTTTTCTTTTCTCCCTTTTTGGGGTATTCAGAGTGGGCCGGGCCCCTGGGGCGAGACACAGCTACCTCTGTTGGCATCTTTTTAATACCAGGAACCCAGCGGCTCCAGCCACTGAGCGGCTAAAATAAAGTGGAAAAAAAAAAAAAAAAAAAAGGAAAAAGAACCAAAAGCATAAAAAAAAAAAAAAACCACAGCAAATTTCTTCATGAAAATCGAAAATAAAAGTTTCCTTGTATTTTAGTGCTCTGGTTCAGTGTGGGTGTAGGTGCAGGTAGAAGAAAGAAGAGTGTGCCCATACAGTAGGAGGCCCAGGAACTATGTAGTTGAAAAGTAAGGGTTGCTTCATCCCTGAAGAGCCTTTGGTGTGTGTGTGTGTCCGTGTCCGTCCATCCGTCCGTGTGCCCCCTATGCTCAGAACTAAGAATAACCACCTGTAGAAATCGAGGCTGTAAATCTGCCTGCACCACTTCATGGCTCTTTGACCTTGAGCAGGTGGTTTTAACTTCCCTGGGCCAAGATTTTGTATCTGTAAATATACCTACCTTATAGGATGTGAAGATTAAACTAATAAGGTGCTTGGAATGGCATTAAAAAAAATGCAGGGGATTGAACCCAGGGCCTCCTGCATGCTATGCAAGTGGCTCTACTCCTGAGCTATATTACCCCAGCATTAAAAATTTCTAAAATCTAGTATACTCGTTAATTTGAAGGAAGGCCGAGTAGATTTTTTTTTTCATGTTGAGTGACACGTGGCTGAAGTCTCCTCCCTGACCTGATGTGAACCCAGGTTGAGGGTTAAGTCTTACCTGGGACGGGGAATTCTGGCGTGCTCAAGGAAAAGGGCTTCCTAGTCAAAGGGTTTAGAGTTGGAATAAAGTGGCATGGGATTCCATAATCTTAAGGCTGGATGTAGGGCAAAGGATGTCAGAGCGGGCTCACTGTTGTTCCCTGGTTTGAGAGGGAGGGGCCGCTTTCAGGGAATCAGCTTTCCCTAATGCAATCCGGCGTGTAGCAAAAAACCAAAAAGGCGAGGGAGAGGATGTCACGCCGGGAACTGTCAAGTAACCCTATGCGTGGAGGAAACCAACACCAGTCGGCCAGTCCGCACGCTCCCAGGCGGACTCCAGTTCCGGTGCTTTGGCCGGAAGGGGCGGAGCCGCACAAATGCCCCGCGCGCCTGCGTGAGACGCTTCCGCAGCTGGTGGATAAGAACGCCTACCGGGTGGCACGTGGAGCGGCGCAGCGCTGCGAGATTGCGTTTTGGGCTTGAATCCACCTCTCAGTAAACCAAAGCTTCAGGTGCTTTTCCTGTAGGTGAATTTCCTGTAGGAATTCAGGGAACGAAGGGTGGATTTTCCGACATGAACGTGGGCTGGGTCCTGGAGAGAGAGCGCAGGGTCGGGGGCTGGTAAGGGGTGATTTGTTGCGGCCTGGAGGAGGCCGTCGGAATGCCCTTACCCACTCTCGCATCGCCAGGCTTATGTCCCTGATCCTTTTTCATTGTGCGTAATTCCGCCTTCTTCCTTTTTTGTTCAGTACCATGGGGCGCAAGTTGGATCCTACGAAGGAGAAGCGTGGTCCAGGCCGAAAGGCTAGAAAACAAAAAGGTGCTGAGACAGAACTGGTCAGGTTCTTGCCTGCAGGTAAGTGTCATCGACCCTTGGTTCCCCGGCTTTTGAATTATTCTGTATTTTAATCCTGTTCCCTTTTAAATCTGCATACATTCTCTGTTCAGGTCCGACATTCTTGTATGAGTTATTAGGAAATAAGTATGAACGGAACACTGTCATCAGTGTTTAGAAGATGCAACAGGGATACAAGTACTCACGCAAGGAGAGGTGTTGTTTAACACTGTGAAAGTTCATAGGAAGCGGGATCTTCTGAATAATTTAGGTTTTTGTTAAGTGGATTTTGAAAAATAGGTAACACAGCTGGGTGGCACAGGCCTGTAATCCCAGTGACTCAAGAAGCTGAGACAGGAGGATTGTAAATGTGAGGTCAGTCTCAGCAACTTAGACCTGTCTCAAAATAAAAATACATTAAAAGGACTGGGGATGTGGCTCCTGGGTAAAGAGCCTTGGGGTTCAATTCCCAGTATGCCCCCACCCCCCAAAAAAAAATTTTAGCAAGTGGGAGTTGGGGAGGGGAATGGCCCAGTCATTGAATTGCCTGATGGAAGGGACAGAAATGGGAAAGCATGGGTGATTCTGACTTGTTGAGTAGTCTCTATTATGGAGGACTGGTGGAAGAGACCGCTGCACAGGTAATTTCTGTCATCTCTTAGGTAAAAGATGGAGTATATTGAGGTATTAACAAATTCTAGGCACTACTCTGAACTCTTTGGATACACGGTATCAATTCATTATCTTAAAGTCCTGTGAGAGAGGCACTGTTAAAGAAGTGCATGCTGAGAAGTTAAGTTATTTCCACACTGAAATTTGTGCCTTTTAAATCTTGGGAGAATATGTAAAAAGAAAAAAAGCATTAACGAAGTTAAAAGGCACTGTAGTTGGTAACTGAATAAACTGAGAGTAAAGAATAGGGCAGAAGAAAAGATAAATTTTAAACTGTCAGGATGGTGATGTGATTCTGTTATTGAAACCTGGAGGAAGGCCCAGTTTAGATTTGGTTACTGAATGATCACATGATGCTTCATCTCCCATCACTGTTTGTGTTTGTGTGGTGGTGGGGATGGAATCAATGGTGTGTGCTAAGCACATGCTTTACCGCTGAATTGTACTTTAACCCCTCATTTACATCTTTTATCCAGTGCCTAGGAAAGTTCTATGAAGTGAGTTAAGCTATTTTATTTACTTATTTATCTTGCCATGCTGAGGATCTAACCTAGCACTTCTAACATGCTAAGTATGTGTGCTATTCATGGAGCCACACACCCAGCCATCTCCTTAGTGTACTAATCTTTTATGCTTTTAGTTTTGCTCCCATTTCTTTCTTTTTTTCTATAACCCTCTATTTGCCTTTTTTTTAACAGCTGGTGATGAAAATTCCAAGAGGCTGTCTAGTCGTGCTCGAAAGAGGTAAGTATAGATGTCCAAACTTACAGAGATTAAATTGGGGCTGCTTGTCTTTAGCCACTTGGAATAGGTTGAGGGAGAGGGCTAATTGTGAACAGTTAAATTTTCCTGTAATGGGAGGTGGTAGAGTCTGGAGATGTTTCCATTTACTTACTTGTTATATCTTTTCAGAGCAGCCAAGAGGAGGTTTGGGTCTGTTGAAGTCCTTAAGACTTATAAGTCTTCTGGGGCCAAACCATTGTCTGGAAAGCTACCAAAAGGTCAGTGAAAATAGAAGCTTGGTGCCATATCAAGAGTCTTCGGGGTCTTTGGTTGAGAGGTACTTGCTGAGCATTTTTGGAATGAGAGGAATAGCCAAAAGACATTCTGTGGGTAAAAAGTACTGAGTTCAGGTTGTGGGCAGGGGAGTGTGGTTGCCATTAGACCAGGATTCTTTAAACCCTTGGGCATCTTTGCAGGAGTGGTCCAGACACCTGATAAGAAGGGTGCTCAGTCCTTATTTAATGTTGGTCGAGGCAAGAAACGCCTAGCACCAGACCATAGTAGTGATGAGGAAGAGGATGAGGAAGACCCTGAAGAAGATGGTGTTGTGAACCAGGGGAACCTCTGGGACTCTGAGGACAGTGATACTGATATGGTAGATGACTATGGAGCTGACTCCAACTCAGAGGATGAAGGTGAAAAGGTGAGATTCACTTTTTTTTTCTGTGTATTCAGAAAAAAAGCTTTACCTTTCAGTTTCTTTCCAGATTCTTGAGACTGTTCTTCAATGACAAGGACAACCTGACTAAAGATGTAGTGCTCCTTAGATTCTAGTTTCCCTCCTGCTTTATGTTCTCTCTCAATGCATGCACAAGTTTGAAAGAGTTGTAAAACAGAGTTTTTTTTCTTTCTTTTCTTTTCTTTTCTTCTTTCTTTTTTTTTTTAAGGTACCAGGGATTGAACTCAGGGGTACTCAACCACTTAGAGACAGGGTCTCACTGAATTGCTTAGTGCTTTGTTTTTGCTGAGGCTGGCTTTGAACTTGTTGATCATGTTGCCTCAGCCTCTCAAGCCGCTGGGATTACAGATGCGTGCTACTGCACCCAGCCTACAGAGCATTTTTTAAAAATGAGAATGTTCATTGCTGGTGAGCATGTACCATTTATGGGACTAGACATGCACATACTTTTTAAATTTATTTTTATTTCTTTAGTTGTATTTGAACATGATACCTTTATTTTATTTACTTATTTTTATGTGGTGCTGAGGGTGGAACCCAGCGTCTCACATGTGCTAGGTGAACATTCTACCATTGAGCCACAACCCCAGTCCTATACATAAATTTCTTTTTTTTTTTCCCAAATGGAATATTTTATTAACATGGTAGTTGTCTTTGTAACATGGTGCACACACAAACTCTCACACTTAGAATGATCTTCCTGGGGAAAAAAGGCTAAGGGGAAAATGAAAAATAAAAAAATTCCTGTTTTCATTATTGTAGGCAATTATGTCCACATCACTTACAAAGCTATTGCCAAATCTGTCCAAGGAAGCAGAGTTTGAAAGGGGAAGAGGGAGATCTTGGGATAAATTCCACAATGGCATAGCAGAGCTCTCAATATGAGAAAGCTTACATAATGTGGACTTTTGCTGTGAATTTTCTCTTTGCAAAATATAGGAAGAAGTTTATCAATGGGCAGAAAATAAGAGAAGGCAGTGTGAAGTAGGCTTTTGCAGTCAATTTTCCTCACAGTATTGTGCAGGGTCATCAAGAAAATGTAATCTTTCTCGGGAACCAGTTTCAGAACTTTTCCAATTGCAGTAGTCTTACCCTCATCTCTTAAAGTAAAACGACCCATTTGAGGGAAGTCTTTAAAGGTCTCAAGGCAGACGGTTTCTGCTGTCCTTAAGCGGGCAATGCAAACTTGATCTTGTTTCACAAAACAGGGTCGAGTCTTACTTTTTTTTTTCCTGATTTTTTTGTCGTCTACCAAGCAGATTAAGGCTGTTATTTCAACTTCCTCAATACAGGTATGAATATGCAGCACCGCATTATACCCTGGGCAGATGATGGATTTGTGCTTTATAATCACTATCTGGGTGTCAAATGCCGTTCATACATTTTTAATAAAACAATTTTTACCTGAGAATTTTAAAACGTTTCTTTGAGGCTGGGTACGGTGGTGTATGCCCATAGTTTCAGAGGCAGGAGGATCACTTAGATCCAATAGTTAGAAACCAGCCTGGTTAACATAATGAGACTCTGTCTCAGTATTTTAAAAAAAAGTTTCTTTCTTCTGACCTAGTACTTCCCTGTTTTAAAAAGTACTCAAAAAAAAAAAAAAAAAGACTTCAAATTTTGGCAAGAGTTTTTTTTTTTTTAATATTTTTTAGCTATACATGGACACAATATCTTTACTTTGTTTATTCATTTTTATGTGGTGCTGAGGATCGAACCCAGTGCCTCACATGTGCAAGGAAAGCGCTCTACCACTGAACCACAACTCCAGCCCTTGCAAAGGTTTTTTTATGAGGTGCAAGAAGTTAAGGGCTGGGGATGTGGCTCAAGCTGTAGCGCGCTCGCCTGGCATGCCTGCGTCCTGGGTTGGGTTCGATCCTTAGCACCACATACAAACAAAGATGTTGTGTCTGCCGAAAACTAAAAAATAAATATTAAAAAAAATTCTCTCTCTCTTAAAAAAAAAAAAAGAAGTTAACTTACACAATTAGTATATATTAGAAAAACTTGATAGAGAATTGTTAGAATAAAAAAGAGAGGCTTTTGCATTCTATCCCACAGCCCTCTTTTGTCTGCAGTTATCAGGTTTGTAAGTGCCACGTGGATCACAATGCCCCAAACTCTGGAAACTTCTAAAATATTCAGTGGATTATGGTTTATGTATATGGTTAATTAAATTAGTGGTTATGTCTATGAATATACTTGTGATCTAACTAAATTTAAAAATTAAATTTGAAAATGCATTGTGATTTGAGCTATGTGAAAGATGTAGAGTAAATCTGGAAGAAAATATGGCAAAATGGTACCCAAGGGCAGTTTTTGTTCCTGTTTATACACATGGCTATTTATTTACTAGGGATGGAACCCCGGGGTGCTTAACCACTGAGCCACATCCCCTGCCTTTTTTTTTTTTTGAGATAGGGTTGCTTAGGGCCTCGTTAAGTTATTGAGACTGGTTTTGAACTTGCTATCCATCCTGCCTCAGCCTCCCTGGGATTACATGTGTGTGCCAGCTTCAAATTTTTTCTTAATCAAAAAGAGAAACACATGGGGCTGGGGCTGTACCTCACTTGCTCAACATATGTGAGGCACTGGGTTCAATCCTCAGCGTCACATAAAAATAAATAAATGAAAAAAGGTATGTGTCTATCTACAACCAAAAAAAAATTTTTTTAAAGGGAAATAAACAAAAGTAGAAAGAAAAGTGTAATGAGCCCTTTTAATTCGTTGTTTAAAATGACTTGTGTCATGTCAAATCTGTCCATCCATTCTTTTTTTTAAAGAGAGGAGAGAAATTTTTTTTTTTTTTTTTTTTAGAGAGAGAATTTTAATATTTATTTTTCAGTTTTTGGTGGACACAACATCATTGTTTGTATGTGGTGCTGAGGATCGAACCCAGGCCGCACGCATGCCAGGCGAGCGCGCTACCGCTTGAGCCACATCCCCAGCCCGAGAGAGAATTTTTTAATATTTATTTTTCAGTTTTCGATGGACACAACATCTTTATTTTATGTAGTGCTGAGGATCGAACCCAGTGCCGCGCGCATGCCAGGCGAGCGCGCTACCGCTTGAGCCACATCCCCAGCCTTGTCCATCCATTCGTTACGTTCCTTCCTTCCTCCTTACCTCTTTTCGTTCTTTCTTTCCAAGCACTCTTATCACTGATCTATACCCAGCCCCTATGTTAAATCTTATTCTTCAGCCTGTATATTTGTTTCTGAGAGCAAGTGTTAGGTTTACATTTTTTTTAATATGTATTTTTTTAGTTGTAGGTGAACATAATACCTTTATTTTATTTTTATATGGTGCTGAGGATCAAACTTAGTGTCTCACGCGTGCCAGGTGAGCGCTCTACCAGAGTCCCAGCCCCAACTCTGGGTTTATATTTAGTGAAAAGTAAAATAACATGGGATGTTGGAAGAGGTGGTATGGGCTTGTGTTACCAGCTCCTCATCTCTCTTTTTAGTTGCTGCCCATTGAAAGAGCTGCTCAGAAGCAGAAGGCTCAGGAAGCTGCTGTTGGGTGAGTTTTGGAAACTGTTAGGATGGAGGATAGGCAGCAGTGGGGTGGAGGAGGCTATGAGGAAGGAGGAGGTGTCTGTTTTGGTCTCTGAATCACTGTTTCTGGACTTCTTTCTAGGGGCCAGTGGAGTGAGGAGACTGATGAAGAGGAAGAGGGGGAAGTGTCCCCTCTATCAGGCCCCACAAAGGATGAGGAGGCAGATGGGGACCTGCAGATCAATGTGGATGGGGAAGAGCCATTTGTGCTGCCCCCTGCTGGGGATATGGAGCAGGATATCCTTCCAGTGCTGGGTGAGGGTAGGAGGAAGGTGCTTGGGAGAGGGGGGTTTTCCCAGCCCTAGGACTTCATGAAGCAGTTCCTTAACAGGCCCACATGCCCATGCTCCAGACTTACAACGAGTTCACAAGCGGATTCAGGATATAGTGGGAGTGTTGCGGGATTTTGGGGCTCAGCGGGAAGAAGGTCGGTCTCGTTCTGAATATCTGAATCGGCTTCAGAAGGATCTGGCCACGTATTACTCCTATGGAGACTTCCTTCTTGGCAAGCTCATGGAACTCTTCCCTCTGTCTGAGGTGCTGAGACAATCTAATGCCTCTTCTCTCTCTTTTTTTTTTTTAACCTTCTTACCTTGTGTGAACAGGACATTTGGGGAGATGTCCTGTTTGCTCTCTTGGTCTGTTTCTTGGCTAGCCTTAGTCCTTAATATCTTGTCTTCCAACCTAGCTGATAGAGTTTTTAGAAGCTAATGAGGTGCCTCGGCCCATCACCCTCCGGACCAATACCTTGAAAACCCGGCGTAGAGACCTTGCTCAGGTGAGGGTTTGTATATCTCAGGGAGGGACCAACCTTTGCTAATTGTGGGGCTTCCCTATTGCATCCTGACTGGGTGGATTCTTTGGACCTAAGTGTATCTTTTTTTTTTTTTTTTTTTTGTGTGGTGCTGGGGATTGAACCCAGGGCAAGGCAGGCACTGTACCAACTGAGCTATCTCCCCAGCCCAGGACCTAAGTGTATCTTAATGTAAACACAATCCCAGAAAGCAAACCTAGTGACTGACAGGCTGAGGGCCTGGACCTCTGAAATGGAGAATTCATCCTTCTAAACTCTCTCCCTGTGACTCAGATGAGACATCTGCATCAGGGTAAATGATTGCCTTCTAAGGAAATCGGAAGAAGATTATTGAGAAGCTGAAGAAACATACTTGTCCTCAGAAAAAGGCATACATACACATTGATATTAATTGTTCATGTATTTGTTACAGTATTGGGAATTGAAACCAGGGACACTTGATCACTGAGCCACATTTCCAGTCTTTTTTATTTATTTATTTCGGGACAGGGTCTTGCTAAGTTGCCGAGGCAGGTCTCAAACTTGTGACCCCTGTCTTGGCCTTCTGAGGTGCAGGTATAATAGATATGTGCCACCATGCTTGGTCCTTTATTTTGAGACAAGGTACCACTAAGTTGACCAAGGTGGCCTTGAACTTGCTATCCTTCTGCCCTAGCCTCTTAGGTAGCTGGGATTACAAGTATTCACCACTGCATGTGGTATAAAATGTTTTAAACTATTTCCAAGGATTTGGAGATCCCAGATTAAAGCCTCCTGTATTAAAGCTTGGTCTCGTGAATTGTGTGTCTCCTGGTGGAAAGATAACCCAGTAACTATCTTTAATATTCTGTAAACAGTAACATTAAATTTTAGTATGGGAAGGGTCTACACCTCTTGGAAAATCAAGAGTCCACTTCTCAGAAGTGAAGGAACAGGAGATAATAGTGTGCTGCATTGGGATGGAGTTCAGACCTTGAGTTAGAAGCCTGAGGTTAAGAAAAAAGTACAGGGGGACCTGGGTTTGGCTCAGCGGTGGAGCGCTTGCCTAGCACGTGCGAGGCCCTGGGTTTGATCCTCAGCACCACATAAAAATAAATAAAGGTATATATATATAAAAAATGCAGGGGCCAGAATTAGCCTAGTGGTAGAGCACTTGCCTAGCATGTACAAGGTCCTGGGTCATTCTTTATCACTCTAAGAACAAAAAGAAAGTAAAAGAAAAATGGGCATCATGGGATAGGATGAGGGGAAGAAGCTACCCTGTGAGTCTTTGTTGGCTCTCACGAGTGAGCATTATAGGAATTGTGCTGTGAACCTATTGGTAGGACCAGGTTTTCATATTTTTATTTTCTGAGTAGAGTAGCCTGTGAAGTCTTAAAATATTCATCCTTTTTATCTTTAGGCACTGATCAATCGTGGGATTAACTTGGATCCCTTGGGCAAGTGGTCAAAGACTGGACTCGTTATATATGATTCTTCAGTGCCCATTGGTAGGTGTCCCCTGCCCAATAGCCCTTCTGATCTTGTCCTTGTCCCAGCATATCACAAGATGGTCCTCCTCCACAGGTGCTACTCCTGAATACCTGGCTGGACACTACATGTTGCAGGGAGCCTCCAGCATGTTGCCTGTCATGGCCTTGGCGCCACAGGAACATGAGCGGATCTTGGACATGTGTTGTGCCCCTGGAGGAAAGACCAGTTACATAGGTATGAGAATGGTAGTTTGGGATGAGCTTTATCTAATTCTTTTGAAAGTAGGATTGGTGATTTACCTAGTGCTCATGGAACTCAGTGTACAGGCAGCTAGCAGAGGTGAGAAGCAGTTTCTGAAGTTGGCTTGGGCCCCAATGTCAGTTGTGCCACTTAAAACCCATCTGACTTAGGGCAAGCTTTTGATTCTCTAGCTATTCATAAAATGATTTTTAATTGTGCTTGGGTTGGCCATTATATTATCCTTGTGTTGCAACGGTTGAAGTGATGCATTTTGAAGTCCTCAGCACAGTATTAGTGTGTGGAAAGCAGTCACAACCATTAGATTGAGCTATATCACGTAACAGAAGTAATTTAGTCTGTAGGGACAGAAAGATGTTCAGTAAAAGAGGAAAACTGTATTGGTAGGCTTCCTCGGCACCAGAAGCCAGTACAGGTTGGGTGGAGCTATCTGGTAGGCAGTTGGGAACTATTCTTGTTGAGAGGGGAGTTGCCTTAAAGTAGTGAGATTTCACCTGTGGGTTTCTAGTCTGGAGGGTGGGTACCAAGTGTGGAAGCAAAGGAGCTGGCTCCTCAGCACTGGGGTCCTCTCTTTTATAGCCCAACTGATGAAAAACACTGGTGTGATCCTTGCCAATGATGCCAATGCTGTGCGGCTGAAGAGTGTTGTGGGTAACCTGCACCGGCTGGGAGTCACTAACACCATCATTAGCCACTATGATGGACGCCAGTTCCCCAAGGTGGGATTCTCCTTCTGTGTGTCTTTCCTGAGGCTTCTAATTTACCTTCCTCTTCTTGACAATGTTTAGACCCATCCTTGGGAAATAAATGGTACACTGCAAGTTGCAAAATACATCTAATTTACTCCCTCTTTTGTCTAGGTGGTCGGGGGCTTTGACCGAGTATTGCTGGATGCTCCCTGTAGTGGCACTGGGGTCATCTCTAAGGATCCAGCTGTGAAGACTAACAAGGTGAGAAGTTGGGTAATTTTAGAGAGGAGTACAATGTCAAGGAGCACCCTAGGCAGGTAGTATCTCACTTTTCTTTTTTTTAAATTATTTAAAGACTTTATTTTATTTTTTTCTTTTTCTTTTTTTTTTTTAATTTTTTATTGTGGGTTGTTCAAAACATTACAAATTTCTTGACATATCATATTCCACACTTTGATTCAAGTGGGTCTCACTTTTCTTGATAGCCTTATGAAATTCCCTCAACCCTGGGTCTTTTTGGGACAGGATGAGAAGGACATCCTGCGCTGTGCTCACCTTCAGAAAGAGTTACTCCTGAGTGCTATTGACTCTGTCAATGCCACTTCTAAGACAGGAGGCTACCTCGTCTACTGCACCTGTTCTATTATGGTGAGGCCTCTGCTGCGGCAGAGCAAGGGAGGGCAAGGGCTGGGAGTTTGTATGGCCCTAAGAGCTCCCTTCAGCTCCAGCTCTGTTTATTCCTTCTTGCTGACTTTCTGTCTTCCCCACACGTCCAGGTGGAAGAGAATGAGTGGGTAGTAGACTATGCCCTGAAAAAGAGAAATGTGAGGCTTGTGCCCACCGGCCTGGACTTTGGCCAGGAAGGTTTTACCCATTTTCGAGAAAGGCGTTTCCATCCCACTCTGCGTTCCACCCGACGATTTTACCCTCATACCCACAATATGGATGGTTTCTTTATTGCCAAGTTCAAGAAATTCTCCAATTCTATCCCTCAGTCCCAAACAGGTAAATGATCTGTTCTTTGTCCAGTTCCTTCCTGCTTTTGCTCTTTCTACCTTTCTGGAAGCCTTCTGGTGTGACTGCAGGGAAGGGAAAGATTGAGGCTTGCTTATCTCAGTCTTTGCATGCTTGGATTTGGAACCACATTTTGATGGGCTTTGGTGTTCACATAGACGGGGAACTTTTCCTTTATTCTACCAAGTGGCTACAGTGGTTCAGCACTAATGCATTCCAGTTTCAGGTTGTGGTTTTTCTTTTTTTCTTGGCCCAAGGTTGACTTGTGTTAATGTATCTCTGCTGCTCTAGCATTCTCAGCACTGGTTTGGCACAGGACTCTACAGAACTATCAGCATTTCTCTGAGCCTATCCCACTAATTGCAGATTGTTTCCTCAGCCATCTGGAGGAGGCTGCCTGCATCTCAAGGGGAAGGGTGGGGTTTTATTTTTGAAACAGGCTTGAGAGCTCTGCATGCTGGGATATAACCCTGAGTTTATTTGGAAGACATAAGAGCTTCTTCGAATAAAAATTGATTTGAATTGATATCTGCTACCCCCCCCAGACCTCTTTTTTTTTTTTTTTAATCCTTTTAAATAATGCCTCTTGCCAGGCAAGGTGGCACATATCTGTAATCCCAGCAATTTGGAGGCTGAGGTAGGAGGATCACAAGTTCGAAGCCAGACTTGGAAATTTAGTGAGGACCTAAGCAATTTAGTGAGACACTGTCTCAAAATAAAAAAGACTAGGGATCTGGCTCAGTGGTTAAGCACTCCTGGGTTCAATTCCCAGTGCCCAAACCAAAAATAAATAAATAAAGTCTCTTGCAAAACTCTCATCAGAATGTCAACATAGCCTGGCATGGTGGTACAATCTTGTACTCCCAGTGAGTTCGAAGGCTGAGACAGGAAGATCCTGAGTTTGAGGCTAGCCTTGGCAACTTAGTGAGAATCCTGCCTCAAAGTAAAAAGCAAGGTTGCCGGGTGCAGTGGTGCACACCTTTAATCCCAAGGGCTTGGTTGGAGGATTGTAAATTCAAAGCCACCTTCAACAGCTTAGTGAGACCCTGTCTCAAAAATAAAAAGGACTGGGATATATAGCTCAGTTGGTAAAATGCTTGCCTTGTATATATATAATATATATATATATATATATATATATATATATATATATATATGTACAAGGTCCTGGGTTCAATCCCCAGTACTGAAAAATAGGGATGGTTATAGTGCTAGGATGTGGCTCAGTGGTTAAGAGTCCTTGGGTTCAAGCCCTAATACTGCAAAAACCCAAAACATTAATAACAACTTTTGTTGTAACTTAAGTGTATTTTTAATATGTCTTTGTGCTGTCTTACTAGCTTGTTTCTTGTTGTGTGGGTGTAGCTTATTTTCTGCCATTTCATCAAAATCCACATTGATTATTTTTTTTCTGGGATTAAAAAAGCCTAAGGCTTCTGGTTTTTCTGAATCTGGAGATCCTGGGACTCATCACCACATCAGGATGTCTTGTTACCTGCTGTCCTCAAGGGGGCACAGCTTCTTATAAAAAATCTTTAGCCTAAGGATAGGCTTCTCTTTTTTTTCTTTTTCTTTTTAAAAATATTTATTTTTTAGTTGTAAGTGGATACAGTACCTTTATTTTATTTATTTTTATGTAGTGCCGAGAATCGAACCCAGTGCCTCACACATTCCCAGCAAGTGCGCTACCGCTGAGCCATAGCCCAAGCCCTTTTTTAAAATTATTTATTTTTTAGTTGTAGGTGGATACAATACTTTTATTTATTTATTTATTTATTTTTATGTGGTGCTGAGGATTGAACCCAGGGCCTCGTACGTGCTGGGTGATCACTCTACCACTGAGTCACAACCCCACCCCCTAGGATAGGTTTCTCTTAATACAAGGTTCATGTAGGACTTGAGTAAGAATGATGTGAATCTAGGTAGTCAGTTCTTAGGCACCATCCCTAACTGTGGCTCCACGTTGACCAAGAGTTGGCAATCTCTATGTTTTAATAACTTGTTCTTATTTTTATTTTATTTTTGGCATTAGGGGTTGAAACCAGGGGTTCAACCACTGAATCCCAGACCTTTTTTTTTTTCCCCCTAAATTTTGAGGTGAGCTCTGGCTAAATTGCCTAGGGGTAAGTTGCTGGGCTGGCATGAAACTCACAATCCTGCCTTATCCTCCGGAGCTGCTGAGATAACAGGCATGTGCCACCATGCCCATCTCTCTACTCTTTACTTCTTTCTTTTTTTTAAATATTTTTTTAGGTGACACAACACAATGCCTTTATTTTTATGTGGTTTTGAGGATCGAACCCACGTCCCGCCCATGCGAGGCGAGTGCTCTACTCTGTGCCACAATCCCAGCCCTACTCTTTACTTCTTAAATGACCAATATCATTTAAGATGAGGCCCATTTTCTCAACCTGTCTGTTTAATTTAACCCCAGGAAATTCTGCAACAGCCACTCCTACAGACCTAGACTTGCCTGACCCAAAGGGTCAGGTCACTCCCAAGTCTGAGAACAACAGCCAACCAGCCAAGAAAGCCAAAAGGGCTGCAAAGGCAAAGCAGTTCCAGAAACGGCAGCATCCCAAGAATGCCTCTGTACAGAAGCTGAATGGCATCACCAAAGGCACAGTCTCAGAAGTGTCCACTGTACCTTCTGTCACAAAGGCCCAAGCTTCCTCCAGGCTCCCAGATAGTACTCAGCCTGCTAGAAAAGTTGAAGTGATCAGGAAACCAAAGGTGATTGGGAGGCTAAGGCAACAGGCACCTAGATTGCACTCCTCTAAGAAAGCTGCCTTCCTGAAGCAGAATGCCCCTCCCAAAAGCATGGACACCGAATCACCTGTTGCGCTGTCCCTTTCTCAGACTCAGGCTACTCCCAGGCTTAAGGACACTGATCAGCCCCTTGGAAAAGTAAAAGGGGCTGAGAAGGTAAAGCAGCCTTTCAAGAAAGCTACCTTTCAGAAGGAGAATGGCACCCCCAAGGGATCTCAGATCCCCACTGTGACTCCCCTCAATTCTGTCCAGCCCCCACCAGCAAAGAAGAGGAAAACTGTGCCTAAGGGCAAGAGCCAGCCACTGCTGGCTTAGGTGGATGTTGAAGACTGGACTGGGCTTGGCTCACTGGCATTGCCAGTGGTTGGAACTGTTTGTCTACAAGGATGCTTGCACATTGTGCAATTTTTGTCCATACACGTGAAATTTAATATACATTTTACCACCTCTGACTCTGGTTGCTTTTTGTGTGTGTGTGTTTTTGAGGGGACTGGTTATGGCAGCTGGAGGGAGGGTGGGTCTGGGATCCAAAGGGAAAAAAACAGTTTGTAGAGATTAGTTAAGATACCAGGTCAGTTTCGGGATCCTGCTCTTTTCATCCTAACAGGGAAGGAGAGCTTTGGAGTCAAGAACTAGGGTATTTGAGGAGAGGAGAGCAACAGGGTTGTAGGAAAGATGTACTTCCTGCCACCAGAACTCAGGAAATATTGACTATCCTGAGCTCTAAGCACCTCCTCCCTGAATTTCAGTGAGGGAAGAGCTGGTCCACAAGCTTCAGACCCGGAATGGTCCTCGGGCTCATCTTCCAGTGTGAGGCATTCATTGGCTTCTTTTGTGCCCGCCCCCTCGACCTCTGCTCCCTTGCCGTGCCGTCTGATTGGTCGCCTGTGTTCCGCAGGCGCTTCATTGGCTCTTCTCGCTCGCTCTCCATCCCAGCCCCTGCACAGGTTTCCATCTCCCAGCAGAAGGCGCAGCCATGAATCCGTTATTCGGCCCCAACCTCTTCCTCCTACAGCAGGAGCAGCAGGGCCTGGCTGGGCCCCTGGGGGATCCCCTTGGAAGTGACCACTTCACCGGGGGAGGGGACTTGCCCACAGCGCCGCTTGCCCCCGCTGGCCCCTCAGCCTACTCGCCGCCGGGCCCTGGCCCGGGCCCGTCACCCCCTGCCGCCATGGCACTCCGCAACGACCTGGGCTCCAACATCAACGTGCTCAAGACCCTGAACCTCCGGTTCCGATGTTTCCTGGCCAAGGTGCACGAGCTGGAGCGCCGGAACCGGCTGCTGGAGAAGCAGCTGCAGCAGGCGTTGGAGGAGGGTAAGCAGGGCCGTCGGGGCCTGGCTCGCCGCGACCAGGCCGTACAAACTGGCTTCATCAGTCCCATCCGGCCCCTGGGTCTGCCCCTGGGCGCCCGGCCGGCCGCGGTCTGCCCCCCGTCGGCGCGAGTGCTGGGCTCGCCCGCGCGCTCACCAGCCGGTCCCCTCGCGCCCTCCTCGGCCTGCCACTCGTCTCCCTCCACCTCCACCTCCACTGCCTTCTCCTCGTCAGCCCGCTTCATGCCCGGCACAATCTGGTCCTTCTCGCACGCCCGCCGGCTGGGGCCAGGACTGGAGCCCACGCTGGTGCAAGGGCCTGGCCTGTCGTGGGTGCACCCTGATGGGGTGGGCGTCCAGATCGACACCATCACCCCGGAGATCCGCGCACTCTACAACGTGTTGGCCAAAGTGAAGCGGGAGCGGGATGAGTACAAGAGGAGGTAGGGACCGGGAAGGTGGGGATAGGGCTCAGTGTCATGACACTTACAAGGGGTATGTGAATTATGGGTTCCCAGACCAGGGCAATGGAGGCCCAAGAATCACTGTGAATAGCATAACAGTAGTTTATTGCCTTGTAATGAGGAGCTTTGGAAGGAATTGGATTCAGTGAGCCTAGAATCCACAGAGAATGCAGAAGTCAGACTCGTGACAAGAAGCATACTAGGAACAGAACACTGGAAAATTCATATTTTTCTCCTGGCATATCTCCCTGTCTCATGCAGGCTACAGTTGGTTCAGATGACTGTGTTAATTATAAAGGTTTTTGAGATACTACACGGACACCATTTGAGAGGGTATTGCATGTGGGGTCTGATTGCCTTACAATCTTCAGTCCTTGAGTTGGAAGATAAATTCCACCCACTGATCAAAAGTAGGAGGCAAAGAATATAGCTTTAAATTGGTAGGTTAATTTAAGTGAAATTGGAAGGGCAGAAGCTCACTGAGGGAAGGTCTGCACCCTTCATTGGTGATCCTGTTACTATCCAGGGTTTCCCCAAGGAATGTTCATGGAAACCAGGTTCCATACAAAAGGTTCCAAAGACCCCAAGGCATTGCTTGGAGCAGGTTAAAAAAAAAAAAAATGGGAAAAGGAAGAGTAAAGGGAATTCCATAAGGTTAGGGCAAGGGATTGGTAGTTGCCATAGGGCTGGTGGTGAACTCTGGTGAAGGAAGTATGAGCAGAGTAAGCAAAGGGACTGAGTAAGGAAAAGTTAGAATATGGACACACCCTACAGCTGTAAGACAACTCAGGGCACGCCTAGTGTGTTCTGAGGATGACGATTTGGCTTTCTGAGAGGAACCCTGCCCCAGTAGGGTAGCACAGGGATGAGGGGAAGGGAGGTGATGCACAGTGTTGGCTGTATACTAGTTGGATTCCTTAGATGGTTGGTAACCAGGCTGATGCAACAGGAGCATAGGCTGAGCCAGTACTTTGGTTGAGGAAGAAAGATACTAGGGTCAGAAAGAGGCCTTGGTTGGGGACTCCACTCCCTTCTGAGCTATTGGGGCTCCTTGTGGGCAGGTTGGGGGACTACCTTTGTTGCCCAGTGTAGCAGGAATTGACATATGGTTTAGGTCTGGGTAAGGAGTGGCTGAATGTTCTGGGAAATTACCATTGGGTCTGGGGCTGACTTTCAGGGACTGGGAACTTGCTGGAGTCTACCATATCACAGATCAGCAGACTTTCTGAGGTTGTCCTGCTTCATGTTGGCTTCATTAGTTGTTGTTCATGTTATTATTGTCCTTGGGGGTTTCAGTTGTCCTAAACCCATCATCCAGGTGCCACCCAGAACCATCCTGCCCCTGCCCTTGTAGGAGTTAATTAACACAGTCACCCATCAGTGGAACATGGACAGTTCTGGATTACATCCATAACCACAGAACAACTGCTCTTCTCAGGGGCGTATTTTTTTTTTTTATATAACTGAAAAAGTATTTGTCCTTGGTCCAGCTGTCCAGGGCAGCAAAGAGTTATTCCTTGGGGATTGATTAGCTCATCATTTTGCAGCGTGTTGTTGTGCAGAGGGCCTCATAGCTGGAATTGTATGGTACGTGACATGGGCAGTACTCATTCTTCCACCCCAGATCCCCTGCCCTCATTCTGGTCTCTTTATAGCAACACTGTACCTCCTGTCTTTAGTGCAGAAGGCATGGGGATAGCTTTAGTATTAAACTGGGATGAAGCCAAGGCCTCCTGGGCTCTATTTTTCAGTTTCCCTGCCTTATTTGATCTTTCTCCTGGGCCTCAGTTTTTCCAATACAGGAATGCCCCCTGCTTCAGATCAAGGCTACAATCTATTTGTAGGAGAAATATGTGATAAATGCAGAATACACAAAAATTGCTCCGATCCTACCCACAGTAAGAGAATCTTGTAAAAGATATTTGAATGGAGGTCAAAAAGTCTGGCTCAAAAGCAAATAGAATCCTAGCAAGCTTCCAGATGATTCATTTTTCAGACTTCTTACCCTTTAAGACTTCATTAATCTTCATCTTTTTTTGTTTATTAATTTATTTATTTTTATGTGGTGCTAAGGATCGAACTTAGTGCCTCGCACATGGTAGGCAAACGCTCCACCACTGAGCTGCAGCCCCAGCCCCTAATCTTCATCTTTAATTAACTTCTTTACTTGTTTCCACCTGAGTTTTTTGGATTCACTGTCAAACAGTACATTTTGTCCTCCTTGATATATTCTGTCCAGGGTTGCTGGTCCCTGTAAATCTTGCTAGCTTTCTCTAGGGATTCATGGATGCCGGGCACATAAGGGTGCTATCTCCCATGCCTTCATGTTGCAAATGAAGAATCCAGAAAAGATAAGGGTCTTATATAAGAAAATAAATAGCCTGATGTTATCAGGGCTCTTCAATGCCAAAGCAAAAGGAGAAGGACATGTGAGGGGCTAGCGAGGAAAGCCAGGAGCTGGGCTGCATGGTGAACCAGCAGGGTGGTGGCCAGGCTGACTGCCTATTCTGCCAACTCAACTGGGAGGGGCAGCCGAGGTGATGCAGGAGTTATTATTAGGCATACTGCAGTGCGGCGATGATGTGGAACACAGGCAAGCAAGGAGACACGGGACCAGAGAGGGCAAGAAAGCAGAAACGATGGAGGGAAGGGATAGGAAGGGCTCACTCCTGACTACAGAAATAGTTCTCTGGGATTTCAGTGTCCTTGCTGTCCTCTTGGCTGCTTCCTCACCTTCTTCTTTTCTTCTTCTTCTTTTTCTTTTTCTTTTTTTTTAAAATATATTTTTAGTTGATGATGGACCTTTATTTTATTTATTTATATGTGATCCTGAGAATTGAACCCAGTGCCTCACACGTGCCAGGCAGGCTCTCTACCACTGAACTACAACCCCAGCTCATTACCTCCTTTCTTATGTTGAGGTTTTTCTCAGTGCAGTTTGCCACCTTTCTCAGACTAAAAGAAGGCTTTTCAGATCGTGTCAAGAAGTAATGAGTTTATATGAACAGGATTTGAGATATGTTGCTATTCCAACCAATTCTGTGGGGTTTTGAACTGACAGGGCCAAATCCTAGTACTGGCCTCCATTCCACTTCTGTCTCTGTGATGGAATAAGACATGTAGTCCTGGGAAGTGCCTTCATGCCCTGCCCTGTGGCCAGGAGTGTCTTCCACCCTCCTTATGGTCTTCCTCTGACTTCTGGGTAATGGGAGGTGCTACTTCTGGCTTTCATCCCCCCACTGCCGAGGTACAAGTTTGGGTGTATGGTAATCATTGACTTCTCACATCCACTGCTTGTGTGCTACTGGGGGACTTTGAGCTTCAGGGCCAGCCCTGTCATCTCTCTGTGGCTTCCTTCCAGGGGTTTTGGGTGGGGGAAGAACTTGAGTGTCTCCCACCAGGCTCCTGAGCAGCTCTGTTGATATAGCCTGTGTCCTGCAGATGCTTTCACAGGGTTAAATGGTCCCACAGGAGGCAGGGCAGCGGGCTAGACGAGCTCTGTTCTGGTGCGGGCAGGAGGCAGGAAACCGGATCTGTGCCACTGAAGGTGGGAGACAGGGCTGGGTGGGCCTGGTTGTCTGGTGTGGGCAGGAGGTGGGTGATGAGGCTGGCCAGACAGCTGGGGGAGCTGGGGCCCCCTGGGGATCGCCCTGCAAGGAGTCAGAGCAGGGGCAGA